CAAGGGATTCATTAGACCAAGCTTCTCACCCTAGGGAGCACCGGTCTTGTTCGTTAAGAAGAAGGATGGATCCTTCCGGATGTGCATAGACTATCGTGAACTCAACAAACTCACTATCAAGAATCGCTACCCTCTACCCAGAATCGACGACCTCTTTGATCAACTCCAAGGAGCAAGTTATTTTTCAAAGATAGACCTGAGATCAGAGTACCATCAATTACGAGTCCACGAAGGCGATGTTCCTAAGCCAGCATTTAGGACTTGATATGATCACTACGAGTTTGTAGTGATGCGCTTTGGTCTATCCAACGCACCCACGGTATTCATGGATCTGATGAATCAGGTGTGCCGCCCCTTCCTAGACAAATTTGTGATAGTATTCATAGACTATATACTTATCTATTCACGAAGCAAGGAAGAACACAGCCAACACTTAAGAGAAGTCCTAGAAACACTGAGGGCAGAAAAGATTTACACGAAATTCTCTAAGTGCGAGTTTTGGATTAGGAAGGTAACTTTCTTGGGTCACGTGATTAGCAAAGAAGGAATACACGTCGACCCTTCCAAAATTAAGGCAATTGAGATTTGGTCAGCACCGAGAACGCCCACAGAGATCCTTCAATTTATGGCACTTGCTGGCTACTATCGCAGATTTATTCAAAACTTCTCCAGAATCGCTAAACCGCTTACTACCCTGACTCAGAAGGGTGTAACCTTTAGTTGGGGAAAACAACAAGACACTGCGTTCCAAACTTTGAAGCAAGCCCTGTGCAGCGCACCTATCTTGTATCTTCCTGAAGGGACAGAAGACCTCGTAGTTTACTACGATGCATCTGATCAGGGGCTAGGTTGTGTACTTAAGCAGCAAGGAAAGGTTATTGCCTATGCCTCGAGACATCTTGTAACACCCTGTTTATTAAGTGAATAATTAAATAAATTAATAAATGTATAGTAGCCCTAAAATAAATAATTATATATCAATGGATGGTCTCGAAGAGCTTATTGTCACAATTTTAGAAGTCGGGGATTTAAAAGTGTAAGTTCCGGACTCAGTTGTAAATATCTATGAAGGCAAGGGCTCCGTGGTAATTAATGGGACTTAATATGAAAGGAAAAAGAGAAGACAGGGCTGAAAATATCATAACTGCGAATTAGGGGTTAAAAAGATAATTTATGGATTGATTTTGAAAAGGATTTGTTGAGGGAGGGGTTGTTTAGTAAATTCCGGACTTAAATTGTAGACGAATTGAAGGGGCAGGGTTTAAATGGTAATTTATAAACTCCTAATGAAAGGATTTTATGGAAGAGAGGCCGGAACTGTCATTATGGCAAAGATATGATGAGGGACCGGGTATATAACCCTAATGGGAACCCTAACCCTAGAGCGGATCTACAACCGCCACTTCTCTCCACCCTTATACCTCCAAGCTCCGGCCGCCACTTTCTAGCCTCGCCGAAACCGACGATCACCACCAATCCCTTGAACCGGTCGAGCTACCACACCCCCTTTCTCCGTCAACGACGCCCCCACTCCACCTTCCTTCCTTTAACTTCCGGTTGCCGTCATGGGTGTTCTTCCGATCAGACAATGCCGCTTCCGCTACCTCGCCATTGAGAGCCATTTGCGACCCAGATGTCGGAGGCGTAGGCGGAACTAGAATAGACACCGAGACAGGGAACCACCGGACGAGTAGCGCCGCCGCCACTGCCGTTGCGCCATCTCTGCCGCTACCATTTTCGTCGACAACAAGTTGCTGCCGGATGCCATGTGGTTGTTGTCGTTATTTGTTGAACGCCACCAGATGGGTGGCTGCTTTTGGATCTCGAGCAAAACGTGGGTGTGGTCGTTACCCTATTCCGCCGCTAAGCTACCCTATCCTGCCGCCACTATCCACCGTGAAAGGTGGTTGTGTGCGTGTTTTCGTGTGTGTGTGTGTATTGCTGTTGTGAGAAGGTGTTGTCTGGGTTGTTTGGCCGGAAATCATGAAAAAGGCCACCACCACCACCGTGAGGTGGTGGCTGCCACCATCCACCACCACCGGCCACGATAGGGTGGGTGTGTGTGTTTATTTTATTTAGTGTGTGTTTATTTTGAGATTGAGCATTGTAAAGTGGAAATTACAATTTGGATAATGAAAAGAAAACTGAAAACCACCATCGTAGGGTGGTGGCTGCCGCTTCCTGCCGCCACCGGTCGCCATGTCGGGTGGCGGTGTGCTTTGCCTTGTTGTGTTGATTTGGTTGGGATGCTTGAAACCCTAATGGGCCCAATGAAGCCCTAATGGGCTTAGTGAAACCCTAATGGGCCTAATGAACCTTATATTGGTCAAAGGAGCTAGCTATTGGGCCTATTGGGCTGAGATGGGTTGGAAACTCTAATTAGGGTTTGGAAAACTCTAATGCCATGAAACCCTAATTTGGGACTTCTCGGGTCCGCATCAGAATTATTTAACGAACTTAAAGTAATAACTAATAACCATTTGCAATTAACCTAAGGCCATGTCGGACTTAATGGACTAAGTCCTTAATGGGTTAAGTATGGACACTTAACCCTAATCATTATTTTATGTGAAACCCTAATTTCACTTGGGCCTTAAGTTGGGCCTTTTTATTGGGCTTTGGTGATTGGGTCAATAATAGCACATCCAAGAACAATCAATGGACTAAAATAATTAGATGGGCTTTAGGGTAAGGCCCATATGAAGGTTTGGGCCCAATTTGGAAAATTGGGCCATAAATGGGCCATAGTTTGGGCCTTAATGATTATATGATATTGGGCCATTAGAAATGCCAAATGTTTGGACTGGACTAAGTAGTTGGGCCTTTAATTATGACCATGTAAAGGTTTAGGCCCAATTTGGAAAATTGGGCCATGTGTTGGGCTTTGACCCATAGTTGACTTTTGGGCCTTTGGATTGGGCCTTGGGATTGAATCAAGCCAAGATAGGGGTAAAGCAGTCTTTTACCCTAACATGGACTTATGGACATGTGTTGGAACCCAATTATTAATTGGGTGATGTTTGATATTGACAGTTCGAGAATCTGTCATCCAGCAGCTGGGATTGTGTCTACGGGACTTCAGCAGTGTGAGGTGAGTTACCTTCCAGTAGAAGTGGGTCTAAGGCCACAATGTCGGCCCACTAGTAGGAGATATTTGTTAGATGATTGTCTTTGTGATAATTGTCTGGTTTTCTACTATATGATATGCTTGATGTGCTAGGATACTTTGTTATATACATGCTAGTAGTAGTAGGGTGAAATAGTCCCCGGATACCGGTTGAAAGATACCGAAGGGGTAGTCAGAACCCATGCATGCCTAGCAGTACGTATGTTAGGTTATTATGTGGTAGTGGTAGGGGGTGAAATAGTCCCCGGTTACCGCTTAAAAGATACCGAAGGGGAGGTTAGCTCCCGGATACCGGTTGAAAGATACCGAAGGGGTAGGTAGGGCACCCAGATATGTCTGGCAATATGTTTATGTATGTTATGCTATGTTATTACGTGGTAGTGATAAGGGAAACAGTCCCCGGATATCGGTTGAAAGATACCGAAGGGGTAGGCCAGCACCCGGATATGCTTGGCAATATAAGTGTTGTATGGTATGTGGTATGATGGGGGAACTCACTAAGCTTTGTGCTTACGGTTTTCAGTTTTGGTTTGAGGTAGTTCGTTTTCAAAGGAAAGGAGCCGGCTCGATCGCAGCGCATCACACTATATTTCCGCACATGAGATCTTAGGGATTACACTCTGATATTGTTTTATGATAACATGTTTTGATTATTTCTACATTGGTTTTGACATGACATGACATTATGGATGTTTTCTTATACTTTTGGTTTTATAATAACTTATTTAAAAATGAAATTTTTTGCCTTGAATTTTGGGATGTTACAAAATGGTATCAGAGCTGGGGCACGGGTCGATGTGTTCGACAGGGACGTCGAACCCTATAATGGGGGCTGAATGTGGGTTGCACCTGATCCCACATCGGCTTGGAAGGAGAACTAAGCATCACCTTATAAGGGGTGTGGATACCTTCCTTGTCAAACGCGTTTTAAAGCCATGAGGGCAGCAGATCCCATAAAAACTCTTCAGTTAAGCGTGCTCGGACGGGAGTAGTACCGGGATGGGTGACCCCCTGGGAAGTCCTCGTGTCGAGTGGCCCAAAGCGGACAGTGTTGTGATACGTGTCAGAGGGGGATGTTACAAATGGTATCAGAGCCTTGGTTTGAGGGATTCGGGCACACTCTTGGGTGTTTCTGGACTCAAACTAAGGACTTGTATGAAAATTTTCAAAAGTAAAAACCCTTTTATAAAAAGAAGTTTGGAAAGAATTTGAAAAGAGAACAGAACATTGAAAAGAACAAAGTGTGTGATGCGTGCAATCAGCCGAGCTCAAGTAAGTTTTCCCCAAGATACCCATACATGTTATGTTATGATATGATATGATATCGTTATGAGAACTGCATGCTAGATCAGGGCTGAGGATCTAGGAGGATGCCTTATATGTCTATTGTATGTGCTTGTATACTTGCATGCTAGTACTGATCAGTCAGTGATCGGATAGCCTGTTTAGGTTATGCCTGATTGTATGAGCCTTTAAATTCACTACTAGAAAACAGCCCTTTAATGACGCGCAAACAATGACACTCGCTGATAGAGGACGCGCATTTGTGCGTGCCTTCAAAAATAATGTCAGTTTTGCAAAATTTGAAGGATAGAAGACACACATTTGTGCCTGCCCTAAAATTAGTGTCAGAAAAGAAGAAAAAGGAAATGCGGAGGGCGCCTTTCATAAAATGTGTGTCGTCTAAATGTGTCACTTTAAAACATTTTAATGAAACACGCGTTTTAAGGCGGGATTTCACCCGCCTATTGAATCCCAAAAATTAAACCCCCCGCCTCTTCCAATTAGCAAAAAAAGCCCTAGGTCTTCGTCTTCATGGTCGTCGCCTAAGAGAACGGTACCGTTGATATCTCTATTGAAGCTGTGGTTGTCGATGATGACGTCAAGTTCAGATTCCAAAGGCAGGAGATGTACACCGAGAATCTCTCCGGAAGCTGTCGATGATATCTCTACTGAAGCTGTGGTAGTTCTGATGGCTATCGTTATTTCCCTTGTTCTCTCTTTCCATCGTCCCCTATGCTCTTCTTTATCTTCCACACATAAACATCTTCTTAAATCTCGCATCTGCCCCCTCTGGTCTCCTTCCTTCTTATTCTGCCTACCTCCTCCTCCTCGCAGTACTATCCTCCGCCACTCCTACTCACCTTCGCTTTCCCCCGCCGCCGCTCATCACCGTGGTTCATTCTGCTCCGCCACACTACCATCCTCAATGTCGACGGTTTTCGATGATAATCCTCTATTGAAGGACTTTGTGTTCCCTCCGTTTGATGCAATCGATGCCTGTCATGTGCGCCCTGGGATGCATGCCTTGTTGAAGAAGCTTGTAAGGCTAAGCGGAGTGGGGATGTTAAGCCCACTCGCTACTCTCGCTAGCGAGTCATGAACACCACCCCCCAGCGCTCGCTAGGGGGTCACTATCTGATCATCGTTACCATTTTGGCGAGAAGAGAGAGAGGGTGAGGGTGGAAGCTGATTGGAGACCGGTGGAGACAGGTGAATGTCCGATTCTTTGTGTTTCTTTTTTTCTTTTCTTAAGCTGGTAATATATATCAATTTCCTTTTGATCATGTTCTTCGAATAATCAAAAGCAAGAAACAACATCCAATCCTAAACGCCCAAACCCTAAATTAGAGGCGATGATGAAGAATTTTTTGTTTTCTGAGTAAATCAGGCAAAGCATAAATCAAAGGCGATGATGAAGTAAAGCATAAATCAGATTACGAATTCAGAAAAAAAAGAAATTTCAAACAAGATTGCAGTAAAGTATTTGAAGGAACAATAAACAAAATCTCACAAGACCCATAATAACATCTGATAGTTTTTCACCCATCATCTTAGTTTGTTGACGCCTTATTTTTTATGTTTAATTATGTTTCTGTTTAGCTATTTCCTCCAGTTGTGTTATTAGTTTTTTTGTGTGTTTTCATTCAGTGATTAAGGTGGATTGATCGCCATTATCTCATTATGTGGTCATGGGGATGTGGATTTGATGTGCGTGTGTTCTGTTTTAATTACATTGCATGTATAGTTTAATTCTTTTAAGCTGAAATGAAGTTCATATGTTTTGCTCTCAGTTTCTTATTAATTACCCTGATTTAATTTCATATTTCCGATGTATATGCAGATTTCAAATGGTTTTGCTAAATTTTTGTAATTGTCGAGGTAAATTGGCGAAAGATAATCCCTTCTTTCTGATGCATATCAAGTGTTTGCATATTTGCTTGAAAGAAATGCATACTTAATGTCCCAATCTATTTTCCGATTCTTATGCTTGTAATAGTGATTGGAATATTTGAAAACAGGGTCATGAAAATGCCACTGCTGAAATGTATACCAGTGTCCCAATTGTCCTTATTTCATTGTGCATATTTGAAAACAGGGTCATGAAAATGCCACTGCTGAAAATGGGCCATGGGTGTTTACATTGGATGCTCCAAGTTTCATGTCTATCATGCAACATGCCAAGAACCGAGCTTTACGGAGGGAAGTTTATGATGTTTATATAACCCGTTCATCTGTTGGAAGACTAGATAATACTCCAGTTATTGAACAAATTCTGAAACTTAGATTGGAAAAGGCTAAACTTATTGGCTACAATAACTATGCAGAGGTTTGAATTTCTATTCATTGCTTATACTTATTACATGCCATCTAGCTTATCGCTTCTTAGTTACTTTATATGATTGGGTTATTTTATTATCAGGTAAGTATGGCAACTAAGATGGCTATTGTTAGTAAAGCAGAAGAGCTTCTTGAAAAGCTCAGGAGTGCTTTTTGAAATGCTGCAGTTCAGGGTAATATACCCACATATATCTTACTGATTGTAGTTTCTTGTAACTTTAAATGAAGGTGTTCGTTATCATTCATTTTTATATCTGAGTCCATGTTTATATTGTTGATGTTCTTTTCACTAAAATTCTATTGAAAATGGTTCATGATACTTATTCTTGTGTATCTTGTAGATATGGAAGATCTGAAAAAGTTTGCCAAAGTTAGAGGCACCCCTGAAGCTGATGACTTGAACCATTGGGATATTGCCTTTTGGAGTGAGAGGCTACGCGAATCAAAATATGATATAAATGAGGTTCTCTTTCTTGAATCATGCTTTTATTACAAATTCTGAAACTAGTGTCATTAATAAATAATACCCCTTTTTCATTCACAAATAATAGACATTTGTATTTATATATATTGATACTATAGGAAGAACTTTGGCCTTATTTTCGAGTCAAGGGTTCAAGCATTTCTCAAGATGCTTGAGACTAAACTCTATGAGATGCTAGATGATGAATTCAAGGTCACAATACTTGTTTTTTCTTGTATCAATTTGGAATTTGCGTATGAAAATATGAATATTGTTTATTGATCTGAATATCTAATACTATAATGGTGCAAAGCATTATTAATGCACTGATTGATCTGAATATCTAATATTATAATGGTGCAGAGCAATGAGCTTATTGCCTACAACACTACTAATGATACTGGTGGCTCTAAAAGCGTACCTACAATCACAACTATTAGCAGCAGGGTTGCTTTATATGTCATCATAGAAGAAGCCCCTACTGTCCCACAATTTGTAACAATTTGTATTATCATTATTTGATTTTAATAATAATTTGTTTTGTTTTTATTGTTGAGGTGACTGATAGTCTTATGTTTTATTAAATCTGGAGGATTAGGTGTAACATCCCAAAATTTCGAGCCAATTTAAAACTTTTGGATTCATTTGAAACCATTCAATTATTACAATTTGTTTTCAAAATAGTTTATACATCAGAGTTCCCAGAAATCATAATCGTAAATCGAGGAAGGGTACGGTCACGCCTTCGCCTACCCGCGGCCATCCGCTGAACCTGAAACAATAAACTAAAACTGTAAGCCCGAAAGCTTAGTGAGTTACCCCCAAAATACCAACCTCATATAACTATAATCATATCACATCAACAAATACAGAACAGCCATGCATCTCGAGTATACAGTGTGACTGGTCTGCCCGCACCGGGCCTTCAGTCCACCTGGTCCACTCTCTGAGTCTACAGTATGACTGGACCGCCCGCACCGGGCCCACAGTCCATCTGGACCTATCCCGAGCCTTCGGTATGACCGGACCGCCATACGGGCCTACAGTCTATCTGGACCGCTCGTAGGGTATGTTTCCCTTCAGCACAAAGCAGGACCGCCTCAACCCAAACATCAAGCAAATAACCATGTGCACATATAACAGGTAATCACATAACAATCCATAGACAGACAAACCAATTTAGCAGATCATATAGTATAGCAACATCCTAACCAGGATACCGACCTAACCGGTCACTAACATGGCATCATCCTATATACCAGGATACCGACCCTAACCAGGTCACTAACATAATACCGTCCTAATTACCAGGACGCCGATCTAACAGATCAATAAACAGATCAACAATCCTATAACCAGGATATCGACCTAACCGGTCACTAACATAGAATATCATGCAATAATCCAAATACAAACCATAAAGGGCCGGCATTGGTGCCTTAGACCCTGTTGATATAGTGAGGATAACTCACCTTGCAATGTCGCACTGAACCACGAAAACACGCTCCCGACACACTGCCCCAACTCCAACACCTATAACCATCAATGATCCAATCATAAATACCCGCTTTCCAATTATCCTTAAAAGTCAAAAACGGTCAACCCTTGGTCAAAGTCAAAGTCAACTATCAAGGTCAACAGTCCATTTGACCTCAACTCGCCGAGTATCCTCAGCTACTCGCCGAGTTCCTTGCATAACTTGCCAACTCGCCGAGTCACCATGCCACTCGCCGAGTCCAAGGCAATCTTCATCGAACTCGTCGAGTTGTTCATCCAACCCGTCGAGTGCATGACCATCTTCATATGACTCGCCGAGTCTACCATGTGCTTCGCCGAGTCCCTTGAGTCCTTCATCCATACAGATGCATTTTAAGCCATGCTAAGACTCCATACTGCAGATCCAACTTCCCAAGGCATGCTTATCACGTAAAGTTGCAAACTTTATGTGCATGCAAGGCTCTAATGATTCATAATGCCAAATCCAAGCTTGAAATGGGGTTTTACACTCAAGGAGGGGTTCATACTTGCCAAAAGCTTTATGGACTTACAAATCAAGGAGAGTTCAGATCTGAAGTTACAACTTCAGATCTGAGCTCATACCCAAAAATAGCTTCATAACCAAACCACGAAGCCCTAATTTCATCCAAAGAGATCTAGAATGAAATGGAGTTGGGATAACAGCTTAATACCTTCCCAAAAGATGCCAACTGAAGTAGATCTTGATCCCCACGAATTCCTTGCTTCAATCCACATGTTTCCCCCAAGCTATTCTTACCAAGAATCCTCTTCCAAAGCTTAAAACACACAATGGGGTACACACACGTATTAGGGTTTGCTAAGATCTCAAGGGACTGTAAAGAGGCTGAAGGTGGCCTATGATTCTTTAAATAGGGTGTCAAACCCCGGAAATTAGGGTTTTACCTTCCAGCTCCAACTCGTCGAGTCCCTTCTTGGACTCGGCGAGTAGGTCACTTAAACTCGCGGACCAACCCGCTGCTACTCGGCGAGTCAGGCCACCAACTCGTCGAGTAGACCTTGAAATCATGAGAATTTATAACCATAAATTGATACTAGGGAATCGGGGCGTTACAATTCTCCCCCACTTAAACTAGACTTCATCCTCGAAGTCTGCTGTGGTGATCGACCTCGGATAGTGCTCCCGCATCTCTGCCTCCGGCTCCCACGTCCACTCAGACTCTCTTTGGTGCTCCCACCGTACCGTTACCAAGGGTACTTCCTTGTTCTGCAGAACCTTCACCCGTCTTCCCAGTATGGCCACAGGCCTCTCCACATAATCCAGGCGCTCACCGACCTGAATGTCATCCAACGATACTACCGCCTCCTGATCCATGACACATTTTCGCAACTGCGAAACGTGAAAGATGATGCAAAACCCAACCGAACCTTTTAGAAAGGTCTAACCTACAAGCCACTTTGCCAACTGACAAAATCCTGATGATCCAGCGTATCAGAAACCCAACTTTCCCTCTTCCTGAGGCGAACCCTTTGTGCTGACAGGACAATTGTCCCTCATCATCATACAAAATCAATCCACTGAAACACGAACACTCATGCCTGGCCCAATCAGCCTCGGGCTGGAATACCAAACATATCAAGTCCAGTCAATCATAAGGTCCGGTCATCCTCAGGATGGAATAACCTAGATTGGAATACCTCCATGAACATAACTCGGGTCTACTCACAACTTGAGATCCAAGGATCTATCCTTGCGTCTCATCCACCATCCTCAGATTCGTCACAACCGAGTGCAACTCCCCCGAATCTTCAACAATACATCCAATCCGAACGCGCTCCTACAACAGACATAACCAACACAATCTCTATGCCCACAGCCTATGACTAGAATACCATTATGTGGTCCTCAGCATAGATTTGGATTGCCTCTAAGCCCACAGCATGAGTCTGGTATGCCCTCCCCGGCCCTCAGCTCATGACTGGAATGCTCCCGATGACCGATCGACACTACTGTCGTTACCTCAGATGCCCAACACTCCGACCCTGCAGATATCCACTTCCCTCTGCCATTCGAAGGTCTAATCGACGCTCCTCTCATCAATGAGCAACATAACGATACAAAAACTACTACTACACATGAATCCCAAGTCATAAACCCATTTCAACTCTTCTTGCTGCCATATGACGTTTCTCAAGCGAAGTCGAAACCTCCTTGGTCCCAACTTGTCTGTCCACTACCCGATCATAGGAAACATCACCAATTACTGAACCAAAAGACACATACACCCAGCAGTCCCACACGTCTCTCGAAAAGAATCCGACTGGCTGGACTTACTTCCACGCCCTGCCAACATAATGAACGCTACATGACCCACGTCCGCCTCACCTCCTACCTGGTCTTCTGTGACCCATCTTTTCCTTACTTCAGACACGCTATGGCCCTTTCGCAGATGGACCAACCCAAGGAACACCACAATAACTCAAACCATCATCACCATTCCTACCACTACCGGCCAACTAGTACGACACTTATATCTAACCCATATCACCCCCTTCGGGTTGGAATATCAACATGTCTAATCAATTCAACTATTGAGTTGAAATTCTCAGGGTTTGTTGGCCTACCGCCTCAACCCCACCGCTCCCTTCGAGCCTTCGTGCCTACGACTTACAGTCGGCCCGCACCGGGTATCTTGGCCTACTGCATAGAGCAGGACCGCCTCAACCCAAACAAAAGCCATAGACGATCATGAGAAAGATCAAACCCGGTTCCCAAAACCTGAATGACAGGATATTCTAATCCCAAACGTTCCCAAAACTGACTAATACCCATTCGGATCCACTCTCAGTCCCTAACTGGAGTATTACCCGATCCAAGAAGATGAAACCTCGAAGGCACTCCGAACTGATGGGATCACCAAGATCCTTTGCACTCCTTCTGATCTCTAACAACAACTTCCGGTCAAACCAAAATACACTGGAGTCTTCAGCCTACTCCAGCAGCATGCTCAACACTTGGAACAGACCTATTGATTGCTATAGCATAGCAGCCTACTCAATACCCGAACATAGATCTACAAACATATACAGAGTCTTCAGCCTGACTGCACCGCCCTACCAGGCCTTCAGTCTATCTGGACCACTCTCAGAACCTTCAACATGTCTGGACCGCCTCTCTGGGCCTTCAGCCTGTCTGGACCGTTCTCCGAGCCTTCGGTCTGACTGGTACACCCCACTGGCCTTCAGTCTATCCGAACCGCTCTAAACTGTTGAGCATCTCCCTGGACCACCCCTCTTGATGCTCTCACCCATGCATCCTGTTCTCACCCACTTGGGGATTCGAACTCCTGATCTACTCTGTGGATTATATCCCCAGCCTAACCCTAGGCCTCATGTCGATTGTCCACCCCCTCGGAAATCCGTGGTCTGATTCCCCGACCCGCGTGTCCACTACATACGCTAAATAACCCACACTCCCGTGCTGAGTGTATTGCCGAGCCCTGGCAGCTAACAAAACCCTCAATCTATCAATCCAAAAACCCTCAGAGTCGAGCACATCCTCGACCGAATACTCGAACTGAACTCAAACCATGATCAAAACTCCAACTTGATTTCCACGAATTCTGTTATCAACCACCGAGAAGACGTGATACACATGCTAGGGAGTTTTACCAAACTCCCAACTCACACAATCCTCCAACCAAACAGCCACTTGGTTTGTCTTCCTTCCTGCCAACGATGCGAGACTTATCCCATTTTCAACACCGCTCCTGCTTCTGTCCCCTGGGACGATTCTCCCCCACTTAGATTCGACTAAGTCTTCACAACACATGGTCATTGGGGAAAATTCCCAACCCTTCTCACTTTCCAACAATCGATCCGATGACAACCAACTCTTTCCCAATTGGTCACACACTTCTAATAACCAGATGAACACTTTCTGTATCCCAGTGCAACCGACAGTCACTAATGCTTGAATGCCCCACCCTCATGTCCTGGAGACCAAAAGATAAATGTTGCAATTAATGCCTCAGCAACGAACCACTTCCCTCGGCGTTTTCATTCGTAAATCACTAACGGTTGCTGAAATCACTGAATCCTGACGATGATGGATAACCCTTCTGTGGGACCCTATCCGCAAACTTCACACCTAATACCCCTTTTCCCTGAAGGTGCTCCAAACAAGTTTCCCGCTCTCAGGCTCTAGAATCATTCTATTCAGGGTTCGCACCCTAACTCACTTACCCGCTCAAACGTCCACAGCTAAACTGCAACAACTCAAGCAACCTCTTCCCTAACCTGGGCTTCGAACTACTTCCCAAGACATAGTCTACAATTCCAAAAGTGCAATAGATCGCACAATAAACCCTTACTGTCCGATACAAGAGATCTAAGGCAAACCGGACATCACAAAATACTTATGCCACATCGACCCACTTGTGCTCAACGACGTTGAAATAATATCGCCAATCCCTTCAACCAACTGACCCCGAGCAAGAATACAACATGATCCTGGGGTCACAAGTCGGCTCACTCCTTCGAGCTCGAAAAACTGAAAGGGCACAATCCTTTCCCTATAAGACGATTGTCAAATCCATCAATTAACCATTCCACTTCCAATTGCAAAACCCCAGCTGAACATAATCATCACTCCTTTCCGGAGTTCCTGCGACCCATATTCCGGCCTCGAGCAAACCCCCGAGCCTCAAATCTATAAACTTGCTTGCTAACCTCTCCCGCTCCACCCGCGGAAATATAACGAGTACAGATCATCTTCCTGATCCCAAATAATTGCAGCCCTCCACTCCTCAGAATATGTCCCAGAACTAGGAAGCTCGACCAGATCCTCCCTTTGTCGTCGTTACAGCTGTTAAAGCTCCCGCGACAACCGTTTCGGCAATGGCTGCATAGCGCTCGTCGAAATACTCAACCATGACGGTCTTAAAAGACCCAATCATCTATGGAATCTGTCCCCGAACTATCTCGATCACCTACTCCCGGATGATCCCCTCCTGACATGACCATCTGACAATACTGGCCTATCCTGGCTGCCAGGTCTCGATCCTGATCCGGATCCAGTCTCGAAACGTCTCGAATAATCCATACCATAATCATGGGAACCGACTCTAACCCAACCCTGGAGGTTGTTCTTTCAGTAGTACGGGCCCATACTACCTTCCACACCTACCCATATTTGTCTCAAGTATCACCACAACACCCTACAATATACATATACATAGCGAGCGATAAATCCTCACTCTAGACGAATGCTAGATATCTCATCACTGGCCTCCCGGCCTCTCACTACCCACCCATCCATGAAACTTCCATCAACCCCTGCAGCACTAGTGTATGCTAGCCATACATAACGCTGTACCCTATAGACTTTCAAATATCCAATCCTACCCTAAGCCCTAATCAATAAGAACAGAACATAAGGGCAGGTCAAACATTCTCAGGCTATAAGATCTTAATTATATACAGCTGTGATGCATACACAAGTAACTACAGTAATGATGTCAATCTCATATAAGGAAAACCCTAGGCTAACAGGTATCATGTAATCAGGCAATTCTATCATACAATTCCTGAAGATCCCTAGCCTAGTACTAGCATGCTGTTCTAACATATCACAATATCAAATAACCGTATGGTATTTTAGGGTCTGCTTACTCGCTCTGGCTGATCGTACACTTTGCATCCTCTTTTACTTATTTTGAAAACCATTTAAAATCATTTTGAAAATCTTTCCTTGATTTGAGACTGGATTCACACGAGTGTTCCTCCAATTCACTCAAACCAAGGCTCTGATACCAACTTGTAACATCCCAAAATTTCGAGCCAATTTAAAACTTTTGGATTCATTTGAAACCATTCAATTATTACAATTCGTTTTCAAAATAGTTTATACATCAGAGTTCCCAGAAATCATAATCGTAAATCGAGGAAGTGTACGGTCACGCCTTCGCCTACCCGCGGCCATCCGCTGAACCTGAAACAATAAACTGAAACTGTAAGCCCGAAAGCTTAGTGAGTTACCCCCAAAATACCAACCTCATATAACCATAATCATATCACATCAACAAATACAGAACAGCCCGAAAGCTTAGTGAGTCTTCCGCCCGCACCGGGCCTTCAGTCCACCCGGTCCACTCTCTGAGTCTACAGTATGACTGGACCACCCGCACCAGGCCTACAGTCCATCTGGACCTATCCCGAGCCTACAGTATGACTGGACCGCCATACGGGCCTACAGTCTATCCAGACCGCTCGTAGGGTATGTTGGCCTTCAGCACAAAGCAGGACCGCCTCAACCCAAACATCAAGCAAATAACTATGTGCACATATAACAGGTAATTACATAGCAATCCATAGACACACAAACCAATCTAGCAGATCATATAGTATAGCAACATCCTAACCAGGATACCGACCTAACCGGTCACTAACATGGCATCATCCTATATACCAGGATACCGACCCTAACCAGGTCACTAACATAATATCGTCCTAATTACCAGGACTTCGATCTAATAGATCAATAAACATATCAACAATCCTATAACCAGGATATCGACCTAACTGGTCACTAACATATCATATCATGCAATAATCCAAATACAAACCATAAAGGGCCGGCATTGGTGCCTTAGACCCTGTTGATATAGTGAGGATAACTCCCCTTGCAATGTCGTACTGAACCACGAAAACACGCTCCCGACACACTGCCCCAACTCCAACACCTATAACCATCAATGATCCAATCATAAATACCCGCTTTCCAATTATCCTCAAAAGTCAAAACGGTCAACCCTTGGTCAAATTCAAAGTCAACTATCAAGGTCAACAGTCCATGTTGACCTCAACTCGCCGAGTATCCTCAGCTACTCGTCGAGTTCCTTGCATAACTTGCCAACTCGCCGAGTCACCATGCCACTCGCCGAGTCCAAGGCAATCTTCATCGGACTCGCCGAGTTGTTCATCCAACCCGTCGAGTGCATGACCATCTTCATATGACTCGCCGAGTCTACCATGCGACTCGCCGAGTCCCTTGAGTCCTTCATCCATACAAATGCTTTTTAAGCCATGCTAAGACTCCATACTGCAGATCCAACTTCCTAAGGCATGCTTATCACGTAAAGTTGCAAACTTTACGTGCATGCAAGGCTCTAATGACTCATAATGCCAAATCCAAGCTTGAAATGGGGTTTTACACTCAGGGAGGGGTTCATACTTGCCAAAGCTGATAGCTTTATGGACTTACAAATCAAGGAGAGTTCAGATCTGAAGTTACAACTTCAGATCTGAGCTCATACCCAAAAATAGCTTCATAACCAAACCACGAAGCCCTAATTTCATCCAATGAGATCTAGAATGAAATGGAGTTGGGATAACAGCTTAATACCTTCCCAAAGGATGCCAACTGAAGTAGATCTTGATCCCCACGAATTCCTTGCTTCAATCCACATGTTTCCCCCAAGTTATTCTCACCAAGAATCCTCTTCCAAAGCTTAAAACACACATTGGGGTACACACACACGTATTAGGGTTTGCTAAGCTCTCAAGGGACCGTAAAGAGGCTGAAGGTGGCTTATGATTCTTTAAATAGGGTGCCAAACCCCGGAAACTAGGGTTTTACCTTCCAGCTCCAACTCGTCAAGTCCCTTCTTGGACTCGGCGAGTAGGTCACTTAAACTCGCGGACCAACCCACTGCTACTCGGCGAGTCAGGCCACCAACTCGTCGAGTAGACCTTGAAATCATGAGAATTTATCACCATAAATTGATACTCGGGAATCGGGGCGTTACATCAGGTTTGAAGAGGAATTACCAGAGGGAGAGGTAGAGGGAGAAGGATCCCATTTGAAAAAGCATATGAAACATGTTCATTACAGCTTTCCCAATAATAATACCAATATTCACTTTCCCAATAATAATATTTAGAAACATGTTCATTATTATTTCTATATATATATATATATATATATATATATATATATATATTATATATATATATATATATCATATGTCATTGTCACAGGAGGATGTGTCTCAAGCTGACTCCGCACTCACTTTATGCAGCTGTGTCAGTGGGTCTAGAAACTGAAACCATAATACCTGTGTTGAACAAGCTTTCAAAGTCCAAGCTCCCTGAAGAGATGATCGATTTCATTCATGCTTCAACATCCAATTATGGAAAAGTAAAGCTTGTAATGAAAAAGAATCGTTACCTAGTTGAATCTCCTCTCCTTTCCCAGAGGCAAGACTGCTTATTCTTTTCTTAATCTTTAAACAATAGATTGTATTGAAGAGAATATTAAGCGATAAAGTCATATCTCGAGCGAGGATTTCAAATGAGGTTCTAGCTATTATTATTATTATTATTATTATTATTATTATTATTATTATTATTATTATTATTATTATTATTATTATTATTATTATTATTATGCTTAATGGAGAAGAAGGGATCTCCATGTTGAAGCAACAACTTCTTGAAAATGTTAGTTTCCTATTTTACCCTTATCCATTAAGAATGGATTATTATTTTTATTTGTTTATCTATCTATCTGGCAATTGTCTATTAAGATTGTTAAAGTTGAGGAGAAACTTGCAAAGGGATGGGGTGGTGAGAATGCTTATCATGTGAAAGGGTATCGGTATTTGCTAGTGGATGGTGACAGGAGTATTTCAAGGGCGTCCCCACCTAGAAAAAGCAACAACCCTAACGAAGGTCAGAATGGTCATTTCCCACAGTATCAGTTTTTCATTCAGACACATAAAAAGCTGAAATAAAATATTTATTTTGACAGGAATCATTGCTTGCTATAAATAAGGTTAGAGAAGATGCTTGAATTTAATATCGGGTCAGGTTTATCAATTGATGAAAATAAGTTATGGTTAATTTGCATGGCTACTTGTGTTGTAGAGATCCCATACTTAATGTTAGTGGTTTATCAATTGAAGCAAGTAGGAACTTAGGTTTGTTTCTTGATCAACTAAGGTATTAAGTTGTGAAGTCACTCAGCAATATGGGAGAAAGTTTCCTTTCTCTCCTGTTTGAAACTTACTCACCAGGTGCTGTTCTAGTAATTCTCCCACATTCTTCATTTATTCCATGCAGTTGCCACCTGTCTATTACATACAAAGTCTCTTTTTGTTTACCCCATTAAGTTGTGTATGTCTAAAGTGATTAAACTGGTAAATATTGTGATTAGAATCCTTTGTAATGCTAGTTGGTAGTTGGTACATTGTTATTATCTGATTGATTTGGTTTGCAAGGGTGTTTTGGAGAACTATCTGCTACTGAAGCACCAAATGAATTCCTACATCAGTTTAAAGGGAAGCAACAGGTGTTGTAGGCTAAGGAAAGTTTTTTTAAATTTAACACCATATATAATATTAAGAAAAATAAGTTTACACATGAATTTTCAACTAAATACATAAATCATAATGATATCATGATTTTGTTACAGGTAACATGTCGATTGCTTGGAGTTATACTTGAAGAAAGTACCCCACGGGAGCTTTAGGTGTTGGTTAACTTTTCCCTCATTTCACCACTCACATTTTGCACAAGTATTTGCAACTAACATTCCTTGTTTGATTCTTCTATTAATTATATTAGCATATTAATTTTTTGACTTTTATTTGATCAGGTCACAAGAATTATCGGAGCAGGGGTTCATTAGTCTTAAAGAATTATGAAAGGCAAGATGCAACTCTACTTAGTTGGAATTTGATGTTTATCATCTTTGTGTATATCTTTTTAGTTTCTATAGCATTACTTTGCAGAATGTGTCCCTTGATACACAATGTAGTATTAGGTTATATAGTTAGGGAAAACCTCTTAATAACAATGTACAATTAGATCCCCTTAATATCAATGTATTACCATTTTTTGACATGATGTTATTGGATGAAATTGATTGTTTTGGTATATATTTGTTTACATATTTATGTATTATGTGTAAATGGGTATCGTAAAGACGCGTCGTAAATGCATATCGTAAATGGTTACTGAAGTTTATGACACGCAAATGCGTGTCATCTTCATTTATGACAGGGGCTTCCTTGATACGCATTGCGTGTCATAAACACGCGCGTCGTAAGGTTACGACACGCAAATGCGTGTCATCTTCCTTTATGACAGGGCCTTCCTTGATACGCATTGCGTGTCATAACTGCGCGTCGTAAATGCGTGTCATAAATGAGCGTCGTAAATGCGCGTCGTAACTAGACGACGCGCAAAAGCATGTCGTCTCTCGTTATGACAGGGCCTTTCTTGACACGCATTTGTGCATCGTCTGAGCGTTTTACGACACGCATTGCGCGTCGTAAAAGGCTGTTTTTCTAGTAGTGATTGCATGTATAGATTCCTGATTAAAGGATAAAACGGGTTGATTGGATTATTATGGTTAGATTTTCCATTGTCTGAATGTTGTTTGCTTTGTGCTTTGTGGGACTCTTTGTGATGTGAGTTTGCTACTAAGTGAATATGCTAAGTCACATGGGACACAGGCCGGATAATCTCATAGTGATGGACTTGGCCCTATTGCCCAGCTCTTGTCTGAGTCCAACCGTTCTAGCGATGGGTCTCTTACTCGAAGGATTATCTGATCTCTGTTGCATGTGGCTATATTCACAAGGTAGCTAGTTGACATTACTGGGAATCTTTCAGCAACTGAGTACTGGGTGATTTTGGAAGCCTAGGAAAGCCTAGGATACGTTTCAATGGGTTAATAGTGAGGTTCAGTGAGACTTGGGTGTACCAGTTTGAGGAAGTGACTTGGAGGTTTCGGGAGGATTGCTGAGGAAAGTATGGATAGGTGTGGAAGGTATTATTGGGCTCGTACTACTGAAAGCACAGGATTCATACTCGAATCGGTGAGAGTCTTGGAGAATCTGAAAAGCTTCGGGGAGAAGTTTATGACCCGGTTTGGGGACATAGGATGTTCCAGTTGTTGTAGCTTAGCCATTGGCAAGTGAGTTAGTGAGCGTGGTAGGGTGTTAGACCCTGAAGGATATGATTTCCAGGAAGTTGCAGATACGAGATTGATTTGGAGCACCCTGGAAAGAGAGGATTGTGTCAGGTGCGTATAGTAGAGGGTCCCGGGAAGAGACACATGACTTCCAATCATCGGGTGAAACACCAGCAGGGCCGGAGTCAGTGCAGCACGTACGAGAAAGTACACAAGGGATTTTGTCACTCCAAGGGTTTAGGCTGCTACAGGTGTGGCAAGGTTGATCATGTCAGCTGAAGGTGATCAGTATTCCTCCAGATGTTGCGGGTATGTCATCTTCTACTGCTAATAGATGGATGATGGGAATATGTATTGCTTTGGAATTGTGAGTGAGTTTGGATAGGTCAGATCTTGGGTTAGTCTTCTGCTAGTGTTTGGGTTATCAAGGATCATATATGCCATCCTACACGCCAAAAAGTCCTTGATGAACCCACAGAGGGACGCATCTTGCGGAGTGGGTTCCACGTGTACCGTTATCATTCCGGATCTTTGTCGACATCTGTGCAGGAGTATTATTTGGAAGATCCTTGGTCGGGAATTAGTGGGATGGTTCTCCAGTGAAGTCAGAGTTTAGTGATTCTATCATTTATTCGTATATGGTCGACTTTTGCCTATGGAAGAACTTTAGGACTTCAAGGCACTACTGTTGCTAGGAAAGGACTGGTAGCATGAAGATGGCGATCTCAGTTGCGGGTGTTAGATGCATAAGTGGTTGGTCATTGGATGTTCAAGGGAATTGTATTTTCGCATGGGTTGTGTTCGGGTAGAGTTCAGTGGTGCTGCAAGATTGGAAGTGGGAACGAGGATTCGTCAGCCAGAGTAAAGATTAAGGCCCTCAGTTGGCAACATGGTAGATTGACTGAGGTGTCAGACTGTACCAGATTTCAAGATTACTCTTCAAGATTTCCGAGGATGGGTGATCTTAAGGTTTAACTAGTAATTAATCGCTAGCATTGGTAAGGACAGGTTGTCATCAGTGGGATACTAGAAAGCGAGAAGGACTGGGAATCCTTCAATTCTCGCATACAGTGAAGACTTAGTCGAATCTAAGTGGGGGAGAGACTTTTTGTAAAGTTCTCCAAATGTGAGTTCTGGTTGCGCGAGGTGCAATCTCTTGGGCACCTTGTCAACCAGAAGGGTATTCTAGTTGATCCGGCCAAGATAGAGGTTGTGATGCAGTGGGAGATTCCGAGGTCTCCAGCTGAAATTCGAAGTTTCCTGGGTTTAGCGGGTTATTGCCGGAGATTTATACGAGTCTTCCTCGAGATTGCGGTTCCTTTGACCCGACTGACCAAGAATTCAGTGGCCTTTCGTTGGGGGCCTGAGCATCAGACAGCCTTCAAGACTCTCAGACAGCAGCTTTTGGGAACCAGATTAGAGCTTCAGTTAGGACTCAAGTTCGGTTGAGTGTTAGGTCGAGTGCGTGTTCGACCCGGTTTGGAAAGTGTTGTAAGACTACGGGGGTAGTCGTAGCATTCACTAGTGGTAAGTTAGCATGGGAAGTGTTGTAAGACTACGGGGGTAGCCGTAGCATTCACTAGCGATCAGGTAGTATGGGAAGTGTTGTAAGATTATGGGGTAGCCGTAGCATTCACTAGCGATCAGATAGTATGGAGAGTGTTGTAAGTCTGCGGGTGTAGCCGTAGCATTCACTAGCGGTCAGATAGTATTAGAGTGTAGTAAGTATGCGGGGTGTAGCCGTAGCATTCACTAGGTTGGTAGATAGCAGGAGTGCGTTGTTAGGACGCGGAAGGAATAGTAGTACCCACCAGTCCGGGGTGTAGCAGTGAGGGCGTGGCAAATCCACGGATTGGTTTATGGGTTTCCCGAGAGGGATTAGACCTGGTTAAGCCAGTGATAAGACTGTAGGAGCGTCGCTACAATTATGAGGTCAGGGAAGCAAGGAACTGCCTAAGGACGTGTGAGATAAGGCTATCATTGGTCAGTTAGCCATCACTTTTAGCCTTGGTTTGGGCGACGACAAGATTCGACACATGAACCTGACCGGTTAGATCAGGAGGTTGTTAGAGACATAGTGGTAAGATAACTAATGGCAACTAATGATAGATAAGGATTTTGTTCAGAAGTCGCGTGGAGCGACTGCGTGTGGGTCCTTTGGCTCCGCAGCCAGGTCGGAACCTGATATTCCAGAGGATTGGCGAACGAATTGAGACCAGGTAGGTCTCGGTAGCTTTTGGAAAGCAGCCATGTGGCAACATACTACTTCAGGCAGTTCAGTGTTCAGACAGTTTCTGTGTCTGGGCAGTATTAGTATTTGTGTTTTAGGTTGCAAGTACGGACGGAATAACTGTTTGATTGGGAAGTGACAAGTCACTCACAGCGGAATTAGCTGAGCCTTGGCCAAGTATAAGTGATCTGCAGGGATAATTGGGTCTGTGGTTTCAGTTTTCTAGTGGGAGTCGCAGGCTATCAGAAGTTGAGTAGTCAGTTGAGGGATAAACGGACTCGATTCGTCGTTGATGATTCAGTATGAGTGGTCTGTCGGGGATTCAGATCATCTCGAGACAACAGATTTCAGACAGAGTAGACGAGATCTAGTTGCGAGGAATTCGTTCATCTGTGGATTTTAGGGCTTTGTGAAGGTCGGTCACGATTACCCTGGAGAGGCTAGGGTGTGCCCAGGATAGGGACCATGTCACTAGAGTGGTTGGGCATATACGGAATGGTAAGGAATGATTTCGAGGACGAAATCTAATTTAAGTGGGGGAGAGCTGTAACACCATGTTTATTAAGTGAATAATTAAAATAAATTAATAAATATAGGGTAGCCCTAAAATAAATAATTATATATCAATGGATGGTCTCGAAGAGCTTATTGTCACAATTATAGAAGTCGGGGATTTAAAAGTGTAAGTTTCGGACTCAGTTGTAAATATCTATGAAGACAAGGGCTCCGTGGTAATTAATGGGACTTAATTTGAAAGGAAAAGAAAAGAGAGGGCTAAAAATGTCATAACTGAGAATTGGGGGTTAAAACGATAATTTATGGATTGATTTTGAAAAGGATTTGTTGAGGGAGGGGTTGTTTAGTAAATTTCGGACTTAAATAGTAGAGGAATTGAAGGGGCAGGGTTTAGATGGTAATTTATAGACTCCTAATGAAAGGATTTTATGGAGGAGGGCCGGAACTGTCATTATGGCAAAGATATGATGAGGGACCAGGGATATAACCCTAACGGGAACCCTAACCCTAGAGCGGATCTACAGCCGCCACTTCTCTCCACCCTTATACCTCCAAGCTCCGGCCGCCACGTTCTAGCCTCGCCGGAACCGACGATCACCACCAATCCCTTGAACCGGTCGAGCTACAACACCCCTTTCTCCGTCAAAGACGCCCCCACTCCGCTTTCCTTCCTTTGACTTCTGTTTGCAGCCATGGGTGCTCTTCCGATCAGACAAGGCCGGTGCCGCTACCTTGCCATTGAGAGCCATTCGCGACCCAGATGTCGGAGGCGTAGGTGGAACTGGAATAGACACTGAGACAGGGAACCACCGGACGAGTAGTGTCGCCGCCACTGCCGTTGCGCCATCTCCGCCGCTACCGTTTTCGTCGACGACAAGCTGCCGTCGGATGCAAGGTGGTTGTTGCCGCCGTTTGTTGAACGCCACCAGATGGGTGGCTGCTTTTGGATCTCGAGCAAAACGTGGGTGTGGTCATTACCCTATTCCGCCGCTAAGCTACCCTATCCTGCCGCCACTAGCCACCGTGAAAGGCAGTTGTGTGCGTGTTTTGGTGCGTGTGTGTGTATTGCTGCTGTGAGAAGTTGGTGTACGGGTTGTTTGCCCAGAAATAATGAAAAAGGCCACCACCACCACCGTGAGGTGGTGCTTGCCACCATCTACCACCACCGGCCACCATAGGGTGGTTGTGTGTGTTTATTTTGTTTAGTGTGTGTTTATTTTGAGATTGAGCATTGTAAAGTGGAAATTACAATTTGGATAATGAAAAGAAAACTAAAAACCACCATCGTAGGGTGGTGGGTGCCGCTTCCTGCCGCCACTGGCCGCTATGTCGGGTGGCGATGTGCTTTGCCTTGTTGTATTGATTTGGTTGGGATGCTTGAAACCCTAATGGGCCCAATGAAGCCCTAATGGGCTTAGTGAAACCCTAATGGGCCTAATGAACCCTAAATTGGTCAAAGGACCTAGCTATTGGGCCTATTGGGCCTATATGGGTTGGAAACCCTAATTAGGGTTTGGAAAACCCTAATGCCATGAAACCCTAATTTGGGACTTATCGGGACCGCATCAGAATTATTTAACGAACTTAAAGTAATAATTAATAACCATTTGTAATTAACCTAAGGCCATGTAGAACTTAATGGACAAAGTCCTGATTCTGACCTCCACACCTGGACGGAGTGGTGACTTTGAGAGGTAGAGAGATTTTAAAGTAGTTGGGCCTTTAATTATGACCATGTAAAGGTTTGGGCCCAATTTGGAAAATTGGGCCATGTGTTGGGCTTTAACCCATAGTTGACTTTTGGGCCTTTGGATTGGGCCTTGGGATTGAATCAAGCCAAGATAGGGGTAAAGCAGTCTTTTACCCCAACATGGACTTATGGATATGTGTTGGAACCCAATTATTAATTGGGTGATGTTTGATATTGACAGTTCGAGAATCTGTCATCCAGCAGCTGGGATTGTGTCTACGGGGCTTCAGCAGTGTGAGGTGAGTTACCTTCCAATAGAAGTGGGTCTAAGGCCACAACGCCGGCCCACTAGTAGGAGATATTTGTTAGATGATTGTCTTTGTGATAATTGTCTGGTTTGCTACTATCTGATATGCTTGATGTGCTAGGATACTTTGTTATATACATGCTAGTAGTAGTAGGGGTGAAATAGTCCCCGGATACCGGTTGAAATATACCGAAGGGGTAGTCAGAACCCATGCATGCCTAGCAGTACGTATGTTATGTTATTATGTGGTAGTGGTAGGGGTGAAATAGTCCCCGGTTACCGGTTAAAAGATACCGAAGGGGAGGTTAGCTCCCGGTTAACGGTGAAAGATACCGAAGGGGAGGTTAGCTCCCGGATACCGGTTGAAAGATACTGAAGGGATAGGTCGGGCACCCAGATATGCCTGGCAATATGTTTATGTATGTTATGCTATGTTATTATGTGGTAGTGATAGGGGGAACAGTCCCCGGATACCGGTTGAAAGATACCGAAGGGGTAGGCCAGCACCCGGATATGCTTGGCAATATAAGTTTTGTATGGTATATGGTATGATGGGGGAACTCACTAAGCTTTGTGCTTACTATTTTCAGTTTTGGTTTCAGGTAGTTCGTTTTCAAAGGAAAGGAGTCGGCTCGATCGCAGCGCATCACACTATATTTCCGCACATGAGATCTTGGGGATTACACTCTGAAATTGTTTTATGATAACATGTTTTGATTATTTCTACTTTGGTTTTTGACATGACATGACATTATGGGTGTTTTCTTATACTGTTGGTTTTATAATAACTTATTTAAAAATGAAATTTTTGGCCTTGAATTTTGGGATGTTACACAGCTAAAGACACACACAGTCAACTACACTACTCATGATCTTGACTTGGGAGCAGTGGTCTTTGCATTGAAAATCTAGAGACATTACCTCTACCATACCAAGTGCACTGTCTTCACCGACCACAAAATCCTCTATCATATTTTTGACCAAAAGGAGCTTAACATGAGGCAACAGTGATTGGTAGAGCTACTCAATGATTATGAGTGTGAAATACGCTATCATTCCGGCAAGGCCAACGTGGTAGCAGATGCCCTCAGGCGGAAAGAGTACTCTGGTCATAGAGTGAAGGCACTAACAATGACAATCCATTCCCATCTGTCTGTCCAAATCAGAGAGGCTCAGATGGAAGCCTTGAAACCAGAGAACATGACGGATGAAGCCTTGAGGGCAATGGAGAAGAACTTTGAGATCAAGGGAGACAGAGTTTACTACTTCATAAACCAGATCTGGACCCCAAAGTTCGGGGGTTACAGGGAGGTTGTCATGAACAAAGCTCACAGCACTCGATACTCCGTTCACCCAGGTTCAGATAAGATGTATCTGGATCTCATGAAAGTTTATTGGTGGCCAAACATGAAAGTAGAGATTTCTACCTACGTGGGCAAGTGCCTAACTTGCGCCAAAGTCAAGGTAAAATATCAAAAGCCCTCAGGTTTACTCCAGCAGCCAGAGATACCTGAGTGGAAGTGGGAGCGAATCACAATGGATTTCATTACCAAGTTACCCAAGACACCGGGTGGTCATGATACTATTTGGGTGATCGTCGGCAGACTGACCAAGTCCGCCCACTTCCTGCCAATCAAGAAAACATACAAAATGGAGAGGCTGACTAGAACCTACATCCAAGAGATAGTACGACTGCATGGGGTGCCTGTATCCATTATCTCGGACAGAGATAGCAGATTCACCTCAAGATTTTGGCAGTCACTGCAGAAGGCTCTTGGAACTAAGTTTGACATGAGTACAACTTACCATCCTCAAACGGACGAGCAGAGTGAGAGAACCATTCAAACCCTTGAATACATGTTGAGAGCGTGCTTTATCGACTTTGGCAAGTCATGGGATACCCATTTGCCCCTGGTCGAGTTCTCCTACAACAACAGCTATCACACTAGTATTAAGGATGCTCCATTCGAAGCCCTCTATGGTCGTAAGTGCAGATCCCCTCTGTGTTGGGATGAGGTGGGTGACACGCGGCTAGCTAGAGGTCAAGTCCCTGATAGCACTCTCACTGGCCCTGAAATCATTCCAGAAACAACCGAAAATATCGTGCAAATCCTAGAACGACTAAAAGCCTCTAGAGATAGACAAAATAGCTACGCCGACAAAAGACGAAAACCCTTGGAATACCAGGTTGGTGAACGCGTTCTATTGAAGGTCTCACCCTGTAAAGGCATGGTACGCTTCGGAAAGCGTGGAAAGCTGAATCCAAGATACATTGGATCATTCAAGATCCTCGCAAGGATCGGTTCCGTAGCCTACTAACTCCGATTACCCAAAGAGCTTAGTAACATCCATCCCGTCTTCCACGTGTCAAACCTTAAATAGTGTCTATCCGATGAGACTCTCGTAATTCCACTCGATGAAATTGAGATCAATGAGAGTCTTAACTTCATGGAAGAGCCAGTCGAAATCATGGATAGGGAAGTCAAACGAACGAAACAAAGTCGCATCCCGATAGTGAAGGTTCGTTGGAATGCCAAGTGGGGACCTGAATTCACTTGGAAGCGAGAAGATCAAATGCAACAGAAGTATCCGTATCTCTTTCCCTAGTCCATTTTTGTATTCACTATAGAATTTCGGGATGAAATTCTCTCTAACGGGGGGATGATGTGACAACCCGATACTTTCTTATCAACAAAAGTCATTTTCCGTTAAATAAAATTTCGAATTTTATTTGTTCCGTTAAGTTCTTGTGGATTAGAAAATAATCTAAAATATATCATTAGGGGTTATATAAGTTTTCGGAACCAAAAACGCTCGAAAAATCAAGATTTCCCTCGAAAAGTCGACAAACTTGTACAGCCAGACGTTTACGGCCATAAACCCACGGGCGGTAAACCCTGGGCCGTAAACTCTAGGGCCGTAAACCCGTTTACAGCCACGAACCCATGTTCGACCGTAAACCCAACCGGTATAAAGGTTTTTCCCGGAGAGATTCTTCATTTCTCATCTTTTTCACTCAAAAACTCTCTCAATTACTCCCAAGAACATTCATATCATCAAGATCCAACCTTCAAATCTTCATATTTTCACCAAGAACACCAAGAACAGCCTTCATATCTTCAAAGGCTGTAAACTAGTTCACAGCCGCAAATCAGTTCACAGCCGCAAACCAGTTCACAGCCGCAAACCTAGTTCACGGACGTAAACCAGTTCACGGCCGCAAACAGTCTTGAGCCGTGAACCTTGGCTGAAAACCCTCTTTTTCCACTCTTAACAAGGCTCGGTGATATTCTTATCCCAAAAGCAAGTGTTTTCTAACACTTTAATTAATGGTTTTGCTAATTTAAATACAACTATGTGTTTAATTATCATTAGGACACCGTTAATTCCACATACTCCAACTCGAGGTTCATCTTTCCGGTTTTGCTGTCAAGCACGTGCACATAATCAACAGTGAGTTCATACACCTACACTTTTACTGTTTTTAACGTTTTCAGGGGGAATACAAGCAAAACACAAAGAAATTGTGTGTTCTTATATAAAGGATTTCAACAGGATTAAAACTTATGCAATTGATACAACCAAGAGATCACTACATTTTATAAAATATTTAGATATTTTATCCCTTTTGTAACATGCTGAGCATAAGGGAAGTTTTTCAACATACAATCATAATTGCAAAGTTTTCAATACAATACATGAATCAAATACATAACATACATGCAAACTATAATAGGTATAGTTTGGGATTCAATACACGGTTTCATCAATACCAGAATTTTTACATTAACAAACATATAAACTATGATAGATATAGTTTATGGCATACAATACTATTTACAGAAAACAAAAGTTCAATACTAAATAATTGTTTAAGTATAATTATTTTTACTCTGAAAGTATACATACAGTTTCAAGTACAAGAGAACACTACAACACTACATGTAAACTAGTTAATACAGGGTTGTGAGGCACTACTTCAGTTGTACCCTTCAGGGTGCGAAACTAAATCCTACTACAGTATAACCAGAGTCTCCTAGAGGGAGAGCGTGAGATTTGTGAATAGATCTATTCGGGACT